AAAATAACAAAAAACAAGCAGAAATATCAATTTACTCAAACATTATTGAAATTTGCATTTAAGGTATTTATAACTCCAAGACAACAAACATGAAATACACGACTGACAAACAATCGACAATCGAACTACATACTTCAAAACAAAACAACTGACAAATACATCACAATAGATACTCTATCAGTAAGATAAATATATAAGTAATTTGCTAGTGATATTTAATAGTGATGTCAATTGTTTCGAGAAAAAGTGATTTTTGTGACAAATGGCAAATGTGATATCTACATCAGAGAAGAAACATTCATATAATCTGAGGTCATGTGTGTGACATAGTGAGCACATGGAATCACAATCTATTCAAATAAACCAGTTTGAATTTTATTTATTGTCATTCTCTTGAAAATACTTGATTTAGTAATTTGAAAATATTTGATGTATTGGTAAAGCACAATAATTCGACAGTGATTTATATTATTATTGTATGTGATTGTGACGTTTTGGGACTACTTTGTTGCATGCGCCAGAATACATACTTTTGTAATTGTGTTATATGTGTTAATGTCACCTGGTCACCCGAATGTATTGATATGTAAAAGTAGTGCGGGTGGTGTAACTGAAAATGGCGGAATAAACAAGAAGTTAAGTTTCGAAGCTCTCTGGTTTCTTTGATGTTTTGTGTGTTCCTGAGTCAACACATCACAGTGATCAATATTTTCGAAACACTTGACAACACTTCATGACTGATCTGACTATAAGTTAAGCATACAAAGAAATATCTGGTGGAGTGTATATCATCGTAGTAAACGGGTATGTTTGACAACACACAATGTAGAGTGTATCATGATGATATAGGAATATGTGTGACAATACATTATTCACCTTAGAAATATCTGGTGGTCATCGTAATAGTAAAGGGATTTTTGTGACAACATACTATGTAATTCAGAAATATTTGGTGAAATGTGCAGCAGGACAGTAAAGGAATTTGTGACAAAACACAATGCACATCACAAATACATGGTGGTGTGTGTACATTATGATATATGATGTATGATAAGACACCATGCACCGCAGATTGTTGTATACAGTGTTATGATGATAATGAGAATGTGTAACAATACTTGCACATGAGAATTAACTAGTCTTTTTTGGTTTCAATGTCAAACTGACGTGTCTGAAAACATAGATTCACACCAGACTTGTCTCATAGTTATTAATTATGATCTGATAACACATAACATATGATGGATGAGATGCATTTATTAATATTGTTAATTGGTGCCTAAGTAGTGCCTGTTGGTGTTTAAAGATGTGTAAGTGTTATATGCAAAATGTGCAGCACATTATGTTGATTCACAATATGCTGTAGCTGATTTATGCAACCATAAATAACCACGTGTGAGACGTATGATTAGTACTGATACTGATTTATTAATGCAGTGCTACATTCTTAGCACGTGTTAGTTAAAT